ACAGCGCAAATTGCGTTACTCTGGTACTCATAGTACAGGGATATCCCTACTTAGTTTGAGATCAGGTAATTAGTGTGGTCCTTAAAAAAATTTATAGTAATGCAAACTAAATTAATTAGATAATAAAAAAATATACTCTCGTATTTACGGCGTAACCAGTTAGTTGGCAACACCTTGACAGAGGCTGTTCACGCTTTAGCACACTGCAAAACGCTATTCGCACGCTGCGCGAGGCCTTTGCCGGTTACTATATGTGGGAGTTGACAATTTTTCTCAAAAACCAAAAACGATAATCGAAAGTTATACACAACCGTACGCGGAGTTGCTAAATAGTATGCATACCATCCGAAATACCATTCGGCCTACATACCTGTACAAGGTTCACCGGTCGCCCACCGTACAAATATTAGCAGAACCTTTTAGAGCAAACGAGCTTGGAAACTAGATTGAAAAACTGTTTTCCGTTATTGTTACTTAAATAAAATAGTTTTTGAATGCTTAGATGTAAAACATATGAGGTCTTTAAAATAATAATAATGTGCCAGAGAACCACCAATCACCTAGTGTCAAACTAGCAAATTCCCTGTACTTTGAGTACTAGAGCAAACGAATTCATTCCGGGACACTAACCAGAACACCCAGACCAGAACCAATTTAGAAAATAATTATTAATACATAGATCGATCACAAAGAAAAATTCCTTCGATCCGTCGTAAAAATGTCACTGGTTCGGGTCCAGCCAGACCGAGGAAGTTTTTCTTGGTGTTTCATCTATATATTAATAACGAACTAGTGGAGTAATTCCACAAAAATAATTTAATATCATTGTAGTAAAACATCGTCATATCAACATAAAGTTAATATAACAACAGTTTTCCGAAATGGTTCTTTTTTTATTATATCATGTGACGGGACAAACAAGTCCTGGTGGTAAGCGACACGCCTGGCCATAACAGTTGCGTTGCCATTAAAAGCTTAAATCACAAAGATCTCAGGGGCAGTGCCACTACGCCCGTCACCCTGAGATAAAGTTGAAGAAGTCTCAGGTACAGCACGTACCCTTCAAAACCGGAAATCAGTAATGCTCTACAGGGAATCGAACCCGGGACCTCCTCATCCAGCACCCACATTACATACTATTGGGTCATGGAGGTCGTCACGAAACAACCAACTCATCTTTCAAAATTGAAATGAGTAGTTTAAGTATAATAATATAATAATACCAATTAACTGCCTCCGTGGAGAACGGCTACCATGCTGATCGGCCACGCAGAGGTCCCGGGTTCGATTCCCAGGCGGGGAGAAATATTTGTATGGCCTACATTTATTTTTCTCGTGAGTTTAGGTGTAATTAAAATTTGTGGTTGTCTATGTGTGTGTCCATGACACCCGCAATATAGGGTTTCCCCAGTACGGGGCTGTAAGTGTGAAAAAAAAACATTAGGTACCTGATCTCAAATGAGTACCAGAGTCAAGAATTTAAATCTGAAGACACTAAAAGACAGCAACTATCTGGAATATTCAGACCAGAACCGCTTTAATTAAGTTACTGTTCTTGAAATGGTCCTGTCGGAAAAAGAATCCGATAGGGACCTCATCTAACGCCCACATTGCTAACCGCTACACCAATAAGCTCGTAAGTATAACACTTAACCTTGCATCCTGGGCCTCATTAATATAATGAAGTTGGAAGTCAAATTGTTTCCATATACGTAAAGTAATTTCGCGACGGCTGTCAGCACGATAAGGTCGATGGCGCCCTAAGCGGTACCGCGGCGGGCGTAGGTTGGGCACGTATATAATAAACGTTAGAGTGTGAACATAGTGCGCCCAACTAATAAAATTCTAATTTAATCAATATAACTTTTTTATAAAAAAAGAACTGAAAAGTTTGTGGAATTACATCTATTTGCCAAGTTTTATTGGAATCAGTTAACGGAAAGTGGGTGAAATCCAATAAGCCGGATTCATCCCCTAATTTGCCACCCTTAGAGGTGGAATATTTTCTTCAAATTTATGGGACCACGGCTGAGGTACCCCCTTTCAAACAAAAAAAAAACTTCAAAATCGGTTTACAAATGTCGGGGAATCGCGTAACATACACACCAAAAAAATACTGTTAACTGAAATTTTAATTGAGAACCTCCTCCTTCTTTAGAAGTCGGTTAAAAATGTGGAGAGTTTTCACATACATACTACAGACCCAGATAACCATTCTCGATAGTCTATTTTATGAATAAAAGAAAAAGTACAAATGTAGTAGAACTGCCTCCGTAGCCGAACGGATACCATGCCGGACTGCCACGCAGAGGTCCCAGGTTCGATTCCCGTGCCGGGAGAAATAGTTGTATGGCCTACAATTATTTCTCTCGTGAGTTTGGGTGTAATTTGGGTGTATTTATTTGTGGTTGTCTATGTGTGTGTCCATGGCACCCGCGACACAGGGTTTCCCTAGTGCGGGGCTATGTTGAGTGTGTGCGTTATTTATTTATTTATTTATAGTAATTACGGTGGACCCTACCTAAAGATACATTGTGTCAAATTCGTCACTTACTGCATATTACAACCCTATGGTTAAAATTTTTAAACAAATGTTAATTTTGAACCACAAGGATTTTATACGAATTTAATTGTTAAATTGTCGTGTTACTTATATCGTTTATCTCACTTGGGTATGATACTAGACACCTGTAAATTGTTGGTAAAATACGGAATTTTTTCTACTCTACCCTATAATCACAGTGTGTGAAATTATTCGTTAAAAAATTAGACCTTCCAACACTAATTTCTGTACAGATCATTGCGTTAAAAATTGTAGTTTAAAAATGGCAGTATATATGTAGTTTGATACGAGCCCGAGTACACTATGTACATAACAATGTAAACGTGTCCTAATATTTTGTCAAAAAACGCGTGGACATCAGAGAGATGCGTCACAAGAAAACAAAAAATGCTCCATGTACAGTGAAACAGACTAATATTAACATTTAAAAGCACATCGTCACTAAACACAAAATAGTAAACATTCTATTGAAAAAGTGTGTCTAGGCTACGCTATAAAGTTTATATAATGAAATTCTGCATTATATGGTACTACTTACTTTATTGGGCCACTGATCGAACATCAAAGCTACATAAACAGTGACAAAACAGCGACAGAAGACAATCGCTCCATAAATTAATTACATAATATTCCAACACAAGATGACGCGCTTGTATCATAAGTTAATGAGCATATTGTTCTACTGTTCTGCATATTGTCTCCCACACTCACAGTGCCAAGTTTACGGCCGAAAGTATTCTTTTTTAATTGGTCTATTGACAACGTTTAAAATTAATACAGAAACAAAAAAAAATCACAATAGGTACTCCCGAACATGAATATTATAATATCAACTATCTTTGAGAGGTATTTGGACTTAATGTTGGCAACAATGCTATAATTAAACCCTTATTGGATAAAATATGGATAAGAACAGGCAGCTTTTGTAAGAAAATATATTTGAACATTAGTGTTTTATCTTTAATTTCATGTTGTTAAATGGTATTTACTTTAAAAAATTTGATGATGCTGCCATGTTACACCAGTAACCTGTACACATGATAAATTTATAAGTGAATTAACACTAAAAAAAACTGCTCCTTTCTCTTACAAACTACATTGTACTCTACATTTGTCTAAGATTGTAATTGTAGTTCTTAAATACGTAACCATTTCTAAAATAAATAAGCCGTACTTTTCATTGTCTGAAGTCATCCGTATGTTTGTGCCGACAGATCTACCAAAGTATAGAAAGCTAAACAAGCAAAATACAAAACAAAGTATAGAAAGCTAAATAAATGTCACAAAAAGACATACGATTATCACATCGCAAACGTGTGTATGAGAGACGAATTATCGCAATAAATCTTCATAGGCGAGACAGTCGCAGATCGTGCGATTAGCCTCCTGGAATTGCGAAACATGATTATCTGGAATCGCACACGTACAAATCGTCAAACACAGATTATCTGACAGCTTTTGAAGTAAATTTTCTTCTAACAAACTTTTGTATTCTAAAGGCACTAAGTGTTTAGAAATACTTACCTATTAAGCAAGTTGCAGGTACCATCATTTACAATTCTCATTCTCATCTTCATTAATAATTCTGATGTATGAACTTTCTTTACACTATGTAATTATGTGAATGGATTCAAGTTCTGTAAATGTGACGAAGTTTTTTTATAAAAATCTAAGTGTAATTTCCTAGCACGCTGTTAACTTTTCATAATAACGAATAAAGAGAAAATAATATATGTTCTTTAAGATATTGTACCTATGTTATAATTGGGCAAATGATCAAACTAAAAAGCATCGACACTATGATTCGCGACAGCGAGCGCGCAGACATGACCATGTCACGTTCGTGAGACATTCGTCAGTAACGCTCAACAAGGAAGTGCCTTATGATAAAAGAGCTATTAATGGACTGTTGCCTTTTAGAACTTCAATGCACAACCACATACCTAGTAGTCTACTAGGTATGTGCTTGTGTATTGAAGTTGTGCATATTATCTTAGATGACGTTTTCCATTTTTTGTAAGCGAAAAAACACCTGCTTAGGCACTTTTATTTTAAATCTACAATATGTATGAAAAAAACTGAAAGTAGATTGTCAGGTTTTTCATTTTGTTAAGTCAAGTGTCAAGTTGTTAAAACTCAAAATTTCAAATTCGTGGCTAATTTTTCTATACAATATAAACAAATACTAATTATAGCTTGAACTGATTTTATTTAATAGAACTAGCGCCATCTATGCAATTTTTGCATACTTATTATTGTTTGCTACTAAGCAATGGATGGCGCGTAAATCGCCAAGTATGTAAATCGAACTTAGCGACATCTAGTATCATGCTTATAAAACTTGAAACGAGAAGACAAACTTCTTTTGAAGTAGTTTCATTACGAATCTAGAGATGGCGATATTAGGTAAAAAAATAAAAGTACTTTTGATATTTGCGTATCAGTTTAATTAAAACATTCATGTAAAATAGCCCGAAGTACAGTAACATCAAATCAAATAGCTTTGCAAGTTTATAACCTAAGCGTCAACACAACTAGCTAATTTCTACAATGTACCCGTATGCGTCACCCTCGTCCGTACCAGTCTTACCGAAAAGGAATGTAAACATTAAAATGACAGGCGCCAAGGATTGAATATTATTAAAAACATTACTTTGCCTTTACTTTAAGGATTTGTATTTTCTTGTTTAGGAAATAAACAATTGCAGCATTGAAAACGTAAGTAGAAACACATACTATACAAAAATCTTTCAGTACAAAAATTAATAGGTATGCTAAATAGAAACAAGTGGCCACCGAAGACAGAGCGATGAAAAACTGCACACGTACCAGTGTCAAATTGTCGAAAGTTGCTGAAATAAAAATAACATTAAAATAAATCAAAAACTACATTAATGTATGTACATACGTACCTACCTAACAGAGAAATAAGATGACATAATGTATGGCTTATTGACTATTAGGTACCACTTAATTTTCTGACGTGATATTTATTTATACGAAACGAAAAAATATTTCCCGCCATAGGGGTATTAGTAAAAGTTGCAAGAAGAAATACTTTACACAATTTCTATGGAATCTCCAGATGGCGTCTTCTATCGTTTTTCATTGTTAAATTACCATACCATTATCTACTATATATAATATAAATATAATATAATATATACTCCTTATCTGGGACAGTGGAGATGATAAATCTATTTAAGCGTATTTCTTACAATAATGTGCGAAGTCATTTTCGATGAAAAATTTATATATCTATGTAGCAATTTGTTTCGCGATCTTTAACTTTACAAAGAATTCGCATTTTTTCATTTACTCTCTCATACTTTCGTATTAAACTGGTACTTTAAAAAAAGTTAACAATGAGTAAATAACTAAATCGTACGCAACAGCTAAACAAATACAATTGTAACGTTTTATTTGTGGTTCAACGGTAAAATTTGTCAATATCACAAGCATAATAAACGATGATAATTGAAATCAGTTCGTTATTCATAGTTTCCACCTAATGAGCATTTATATTGGTGGATGATGAATTCTGACCGCAGGCAATTTAAACAATATTACGGATTAAATAGACATGTAGCACACTCACACATCGTTACCACACAAACTTTTAAGCGAAATAATTTAGAATCGAGTCATTGTAATAAATAAATGTCTTCTCAAATTAATTATTTTAATTATGTAGCAGAAGATCTCCTTGTGAAAGAGTTCGTCCTAGAAAGTACTGCTACCTTACCTATTTCTTTCGCAAAGCAGTTATATGACCATTACTGCGTTCCGGTTTTGAAGAGTAAGGGTGCTTATGAAATTACAGGCACATGAGACTTGTCAACTTATGTCTCAGGGAGATGGACGCAGTGGCAGTGCCCCTCATATCTATGTGTTTTAAAGCTCTGAGTAACTAGTATGGACAGGCGTGTCGCTTACCATCAGGCGAACGCTTTGGCTATATCGAGGCTAACAGCCAACGACTGGCCACGTTTGTCTATAGCCTCACCCCAAATATGCGATAAGTACGCTAAAAGGTCACCCTTTATCTTGCGGCTTGTGGGTTAGATTGCCGTCAGAATATCTCAGCGGGGGCAGCGAGGGCCGGCAGAAGTTCGACGCAACGGCTCTGGCCAGACGCCAGTAGCTACGACTACCAGTGGGATGCGTCAGGAGTTCTTGGCCAACTCGTGTGACGCGCTGAGCATCCGCTCTGATGTACGCTCTTTTACAAGACCTGGTGGCATTATTGTAGGCTGTTTTAAGTGAGTTCGTATTGGGATCGTCTGAAGCTCGACCCCTGATCCAAGCGCGGTATGCAGTCTGTTTGTTCTCAACAGCCACAGCACACTCGCGGTTGAACCAGCGGTTGCGCCTCCCTTTACTGACGAGATCCGAATGCGGGATGTAGTATTCCAACCCGATTAAGATCTCATCAGCAACGGCAGTCGCGCTAGCTGTTGGATCCACCTTACTAAAACAGCGCTGCCGCCAAGGAACGGATGCAAAATAGTCCCGCATACCGTCCCAATCTGCCAACGTATAATTTCAAATGCGGCGTTTAGCGACAGTAGGTGGTGGTGGCAGTAACGTTGCCACTTTAGTGGATATCAAGCAGTGATCCGAAGTGCCCAGAGGGGCTTGGACCTCCACCCGATATCCAGCCGGGCGAGACGTCAGCAGAAGGTCCAACAAAGAGGGCGCGTCACCAACCCTATCTGGAATCCGGGTGGGCTGGTTTACCAGTTGGGTTAAATCGTGTGTGAGAGCGAATGTGTGGGCAGTTCTTCCAGCATTGTCAGTTTTAGAGGAACTTAACCACGACTCGTGGTGAGCATTGAAGTCCCCTAAAAACACCAATTCCGCCATAGGAAACTGCGCCTGCGCGTCATCTGCCGCCCGAGTAAGGTGGTCTATGAGACGAGTTGTCTCCATGTCGCCGTGGTGGGATCTGTAGAGGCAAATGTAGACACGGCAATGACTGCCCAGGTCTACATGTACCCCAAGGATGGAGAAGGAGGGATCCTCCAAATGACGCAGACGGCGACAGCAAACATCTGCCCGGACGAACAAGCAGACCCCAGCTTTCGCTTTGAAGGACTCTTCAAGCATATAGCCATCCTAACGAACCCATAATAAAAGTAAACCATAAACACCATAGTAAGGTTCAGTGATTTCAACGGTCGAAAATATCCCGCATTACCTTTCACAGAATTAACGTTTAAGCAAAAGAATAAAAGAGCACGCAAACTTATTAAAATAATGTTAAACGAATTTTATCGAACGCATTTTAGTTATGCGGTACAAATTTCCGATACTGGGTGATATCAAATTATCTGAAGATCATTTTAAATACGATTAACATAAAACTAATTATTTTTATATCCAAATTAAATCGTTTAATCGTAATTTAAATCGATTTGGATATTTGGTTCGTGAAATTGAAACTTGGCGAATGAGAATAATCATAAATCTAAGTAGTGAAAAGCCGCTTACACTTAACACTATATTTGTTGAAAATCTTATTATTTTGAAATTTAGCACTAAATGAAATATATAATCTCCATGTGGAGATAATAGTACTCAATTTAGCGCTCGCTATCATTTAATAGGTAATTGAGTGTTCTTTTTTATCATAAGTTTTTACACAAATTCTAAGTTTGTTACACACAATTAATTTTTATATTAGTAATTCAAATTTGCTTCAAAAACCATTTTATCATAAAACACAAAACCGTAAATGTAGAACCGGATGTTTGTACAAATGATACAATGAAGTATATTAGCTACAAAAATAAATAGCTACCATTTATATTCACAACCTGTTCACAACGCAGACGTGTGAATCTTGTAAAAACCTTAACTTCCCACCCACCGCCTAGTGCCTGCAAACGCAAGCCTATTTCGATAACAGTTATTCACAGCTCGTGAGCTACCAAATAAGCGTGGAGCTTCGCCTTTCGCAATCATTTTTCTTGAGGCGAAGTCACGAATCGTGTAACCAGTAACCAGGAGCATAATTTTCGTCTAAACATTCCCGTCGCTTATTTATGATACTGTAATTTTATCTACACCGCTCGCTCAATCTAATTTTACGATTCAAAATGTTATTGCAGCTAAGTAATGTAAACTAAATAGTATGAAGAATGTTTTTACGAAGGATGCCACAATCAGGACCCGTACTCGGTGATGATGTGCAAATTACACGGGGACGACGCGTCGCAATTGCCATTCCAATGGTAATTGCAAGTAGTTGCACCGATCATAAATTACATAGATGCCAAAAGCAATGAGGCTGTATCCACTATAGTTTATGACTTATTTCTGCTGTTACAGCTTAATTGAGTAAAGAAAGAAATCTCAGCGTTCCAATGAAACTAATATACATTTGTTTTGTATCAATAAGGGTAGATGTGTTAAAATTTTTTAGCAGCGAAGTTTAAGTAAAATAATACTTACACAAAAATATCATTAGACAGTAGAAAATCACTCCATAAACACAATTTGGTACAACAAGTAGCGAGTCATCAGAAATTAAACCGAAGCCCTTAGAGTATCTGTAATATATGAATAAATCTACAGTTTTGTTAGATCAGAGTAACTTGTTCATGTCGTTTAGCGTAAAATAAAACATCAGAACTGATAGTAAGGAGTTTAGCTATGCGGATCTCAAAAAGCCACTACTTCACAGTGCGATATCCAAGTGCATCTGAGTAGTTGCCGTCTATTGCGTCTCCATAGAGAAATAGCAAAAATGTACTGACTGACAAAATGAAATAATTTACACGCACACATTTTGCTCACTAAGAGTACGGTAGATACCGACGTGTTTATATGAGCTAATACAAGACCGTCTACCGCCTTTTGTGATATGCGTTTCGTTTTCGCGCTGAAACTTTATAGAAAAAGTGAGTTTTAACCTATTCTTTCTCTCAGTTTTTAGTAATTCTTATGGCACAATCACTTCTACTGCCATAGCCATGATTTCTTTTACACAACAAACATTATTTTGCAAATATCAGATCAGCAGTCAATGATAAAACGTAATAATTATATTGCATCAATGTAAACACTACGGCACAAATAAAAGTAGTGACAATTTGTTGGGCGTTATTAATCTATATTATGTAAACTACTGTCCATGAACGGGTTAAGGAAGTAATTTAGAGGATTCGGTACGAATTGATGCCTCATAGGTAAGAACCGTAAATATAGCTATATTTGTCCAAAAATCAACTTACTTGGATGTGAGCACCCTCGAACAGCTGGCGTGCTCTGAGATGTCACACAAAGCCTTATAGCCTGGTCGAACTTCCGCTGCCATTTCCACATACAAAGCGTAGGTAGAAATCAAGATACCAGCGATGGCTGCTGCCACAATAGACCGTTGATTACCTTTCAACATGTCTGATGGTATCTTTAAAAATCTGGAAGTAATGTTAGAAACAAACTTTAGCAACTATTGTAACATTAAAGTGACTGACGCATTAATTCTATCAACCGAAACAACTAATACGCATCCATCCTACAGCTCATAAATATTAATAAACATATTCAATTTGCATTCAATCATAATACCTCGATTCCATCAGTATTAAAAACGAAGCAAACTTAGTTACAATTAAATAAATAGTAAAACGACTTCGTGAATTTAATAATTTGCATTCAAATTATGTATCAAATTACAAAGCAGTGTAGTTATTAGTTTAACTTTCAAAAAATTCATTTACGATTATTTGAAGTTCTTTATACCGTAAACGAATTCACAGGTTTTCGTATAAATCAATTTTATAGAGGGGGAGCCGAGCGTTGTAGACTGCCAGAAAGAGTAAAAAATGAAATATTAAAGCTCTCGTTTAGCCGTGCTTCGTTTTGCCACCCCTTCGTGTACTCGCGGCATTATGAGTGTACAAACGGTAAAAAATTAAAAAAAAAACAAACAAGTCAAGTCCGTCGGTGGTCCTAACGTTTTATTAGCGTCAAGTAGACCCTTTAAGCCATAATCTTATTAGCACTCCTCTCAATGTGTATTTTTAATAATGTTTGCAAATATGGCATGAAACATACGAGACTATATTTGTATCTCATTTAGGAACTTGTGCATTTTACGCACAGCTTAAGAAAGACTATTTAAAACTTTGTTATTCCTTCTTCGGTCCCCGCAAAGTAGAACTGTAGAGACCCGTTTCTGGTAATGAGACTTGTAAAGGTTAGAACTACATATACTATTATAATACTGTCCTAGTGTTTTGATTAATGTATTGTATGATTTATACATAATCCAATAGAGTTTCCATAAATAGTAATAAAGCCTTCCTTATTGCATTCGCATATATCAGTCAGTGTTTTAATTTATTTTACTTTATTTTTACTTATAAAATTACTTAACATTTTTTAGTGAAAAATTTAGTACCGAAATGTCTACGTCATATTTTTTTAAACACTCCAATTTCAATACAATAAAATATAAAATAGTTACACTAAAGTGATATTCGACTTGCGATATTATTGACACAAAATCTTTATCACGACGATAAATGTAAAACATTTTTCATAATAACATATAATACAAAAACACATAAAACGACACGATAAAAAGCCGTTGTAACCTCAGTAGCGACGATATCTGTTGATAAACAAACTTGTTGCTTATCTAGCGTAATCTGAGTTTCACGGTTAACGAATAAATTCTGTATATTTGATCTTATATTTCAGTAAACACAACTAGCACTGTTCAAAACTCACACACAACTGATGAGCCTCAAATCCTTACCTGTTCATTAGTGATTCATTTAGATACTTATACATTATGAATAACACATATCTGGGCTTTTATAGGGTGTTAATATATTTACGAGTAACACGTTGGTTTGTGCACTTAAACATAATGTTAGCTTTTAGTTCTTTTTTTTGTAAAAATAATCTCCATTTTCATCTGATACATAATACTTAATTAATTCATATTTTACGATTATATACTTAATTTTGAAGTTCGTTTCCACAGTCCACAAACCCTAAGTGAAACATACATTTTAGGCACAGTTCTTGAAATTTCTCAAATCAAACAGTAGATTGAGTAATTTTATTATAAGAACATCATTTAGATACAAATCTCATCCCACGATAATACACACGAGTGACGCATGCCGCAAATAACAGACGTTTATTGATATTCCCGTCGAATCGATAAAAAGGGGCGCCATTTAGATTATAGCCAATTCATTGAACATGCATGAATGGCAAATGAAGAATGGCTTTTAAGTAAAATATGTTCGTATACTATGCCGTTGTATGGGTGACTAAGAAGCTCTACATTATACTATATATGTGTATTTCGTGTGCAATAAATAAACAAGACTTAAATCAACTTCATTATCAAAAATTACTTATCATTGCGGACCTCATAGTAAACAAAATTTTGAATAATTTTTTTGCCTAATTACGTTATTCTTTTTATTTCGATAAGAAAAAAACAACATTTTTAATATTAATACAAATAGATGTACTTTTATGTATAAAAACCAAATCCACCATATACATAAAAATAACACATTTTAGTGAAAAATATATAAATTAACAAAAGCTTGAACTCATAGATAGGCGTAAAACGTAACGTCAAGTAAACAAATGCAGAAACTTCATGATTAATAACGTCAACTTTAGTAAACTCACAAATACAATGCCACTGTGTTTGAATATTACAGTCCCAATACACGTATCTGTATGTCCAAAACGTTTAATGGGTCTTTGCTAGAAAACGACCAATACTGCAAAATTCGCCGTTCTCTTTTTGATAAGTTATACCAACGTTACGACTTTAATGCAAGTTAATGTGTAGCAGAATGAAGAAAATTTTAATTAATGTTTCAGAAATGGTCTATGCAATTTGCATTAACTTACCGAATAAGTTTCTTCGATCTTAATAATCTTCACATCAACAAAAATTACAACAGTTTAAAAAAACAAATTGTCTGTCTATATGACATTGGGAGAGACATATGGTTAAGTTAGAAGAGTATAGCCAATCGCCACATTGCCAATGGCGCCCCAGTATCGCGGAATGTTTGCGGGGTCATGTTGGTAGCTTTGCTTTTAGTTCACCATCGCGACCGCACCGCAGCGCTGGTGTCGTGTAACACCTTTCATTGTATTGACTATTGACTGTATACTGTATCAGAATACAGAGAATAATGTATAAACCTAATTTGTCGTGTTATTGTCTTAGTTCTTATTAAAATATATTGTAATATATCTTAGTTAAAGCGGAATTATGTATCCCTTTACGTGAACGTGAAAGAAGACAGCCCGTCGAGTGCTACGCGGCCATTTTACTTGCAATGCGGCAACGGTGTACGATCCGCCATTGGAAACGGCCTGTGTCTTTTTCTAAGTGCAAGATTTGTATTGTCGAATAGCACGACATAGAAACGAAGGTTAACCATGTGTGATAAAGGTGTAGTGCGGACTTTAGTGTAGTGAAGCACGGTGGTCGGGTGATTTGAATAATGTGCGAACGATGGAAACCGAAGTGAAGCAGCGCAATCAAAGAAACAGGCGAAGGGAGCGGGCACAGCGCATGCAAGCACAGCGAGAGAGTAAGGTGAAGGATGGGGACAGCGGCGAGGACGAGTCGCCGGCACGAGAGAAGCCGCCTCGTCCCTCGGCCCGCAGGAAGCGCTCCAAGGAGCCGCTCGGGGAGGAGGACATCATCGACGGGTTCGCCATAATGGCCTTCCGAACCTATGAGGACCTCGAGGTGAGTACTGGACCGGTAGCCCTCTTGCCTGATAAAGCCTGAACGCAATATACAACCGTGAATGCTGGCTGTTAAGCATGACAACAATAAGAGGGTCTGTAGCGATATCTCCTACATTCGTGCATAGTTTGCATAATTCAAAGTATACAGTCCTCGAACGTATTTACTTTAATGACACTCAATACATGAAATATATTTTTGCGAATACTGTCAGTATTGTAATCTGAAATAACAGTTTTCTCGTTTATTGGCCAAATTATGAGAATTAACATTCTCATATCACGACGTCAGGTAAATTCAATCCATCGAAATGATTTTGAGTGTAAATGATGAGCACTTTCATGGTTATTTGTATCCTCATTAAAAAACGGCGCGTCGTAATCGCTTTAGTCGTCGCCTCGGAAGTGCATTGACCTATTGAATGAACCCTACTTGTGAAATGACTTGAGATCTGTGAAACTTGTTGTTCATTAGCGAAAGTGGTTAGAGCTTATTTTAATTCTTCATAACATCCTGTACTGAAAGTATAACTAATCTTCAATGAATGTATACAATTACTGTTCTATGTGTAAACTATAGCTAAATTATGTTGAAACTGTTTTGGGTTCTGTGTAAAATCATATTTGAACACCGAATAATGATCTTGGACTTTATTTATATTTTCACATACTTTTCTGACTTTCACAGTGTGTTTTCATTGGTGCATTGAATCCATCCATCCGTTCCATATTTTCTTACCGAAGATGCCCATCTTCAGTAAGAAAATTAAAATTCTAAAAATATCTCTTCATTGACTGTGGTTTAGGAGATCAATCTTGTTTGAAATATTAGATATTTAAATCTAATTTATAGTGCCAAACTTGCTAAATTTTGACTACCAAAAGGTAGGGTAGGTGAACTATTATTAATAATTTATGAATATATAAAAAAAAATGTATTACAAAATTGCAGACATTACCTAAGCTAAGAAATATTGTGTACCAAACAAGAGTAACAAAATTTATTCCGGGGGCACTACAGAACATCTAGACTGGAACCTATATACAAAAGTTAAAAACTTGTTGTCGTTGTGAAACTTTTTTCTATATGAATGTAAGGGTCGTATTCCAGAACTCTACTCAATGCTCAAGTCAGGACTTGAGTATTGCAGTGAGCACTGAAAATCAAATCATACTCAAGTCCTTGCCATTAGAGTCGTATTTCCAAGTCGTATTTCGTCTGCTCAAATCCTGACTTGAGCATTGAGTACAGTTCTGGAATACAACCCTTAGTGATCTTTCTTTATATGAGTATCATAAAATATGTGCTGCAGTACTATCCAAATTACCAATATGATAATGCAATTTTTATGTTAGTTATATTTGTCTATATGGATATATTTTATTTTACTTTTTTACTGGATAGTGTTGTGTGACATATAGCCAGTTGCAGGTAAGATCTTTAAATCTAAACTGTAACACTTTCCATTACTTTATTGGAGCAAAACTAGAGACACCTTGTTGCTTAACAGATCTTTAATGTTAATTGTTCATTATGCGATTCAGCTTAATATGGCTATAATTCCCTCTGGGACACTTAATTCGAGCCACCTGGCATTTTCAATATTAAGTTTGCTAAGCTTAGACAATGTTTGATTGATCAAAAGCTATTATGCAATTTTGAAACTAGTATAATAAACCATAAGTTCTTGTTGGAAATTTTAATTTGCAAAGCAGGGGTAAACTTTTTCTTTGATAATAACACTATTTTTGTATTCTACCCCTTTAAGGCAAAAATGCTACGTGACTCACATTATGTGTCTGGGAGTATATTATTTGCAATATTTCTACTTATTTGTAATAAATATTACAAATAAGTAGAAATATGGCATTTATTATGATTGACAGACTTAAAAAAGATTTACAAGTGTATGCAACTGTAATATGGTATTTTTAAGCTATACAGTTATTTACATTCTGATTGCTGGGAGATCCAAGGTGATTGAGAATATTGGCAATATAAGTATACAAATCGTGACTTGAGTGCTGAAAATTAATATTAAGGATCTTGCAATTGGCGCATGGATAATAAATGTCAGATGGCGTAATTCATGAATGACCCTTGTGTTGCGTAGCGAGCAGCTGACGACAGACGAACGGGGCGCGGCGGCAGCGCTCTCGATGCACTGCCACCACGACTCGACAAGTCTCCCACAAAGTGTAAATTTGGTCTAAGTGGCTTTCGCTCGTTTGTGCTCATTTATCGCCACCAACGGCAACATGTTTTGAAGTTCGTATGTGTACAATAAAACTACACTCTGCGCTATCGTTTTAAATTATGGCGACAGGCTTGCCGTTTGTGGCTCGTTGGAGCGGCGCGCGCGTTTCTATATTATAGGCCTGAACAGGTTCCTTGCTCCTATTTAATTCACCACATGCGTTGCGGTGTGCAACGTTTATGCAATTTTTGCTTACAATGGCTGTGGGTTAATTTTCTACGTGGAACGGGTTTTCATGGAAATTACGATGAATCGTCTGCCATATGGTCAATAAAAACGTGCAAGCTACAATTCAAAAACTGTCTGGTAAATAAATTCTCGTATATTGTTGTATGTTACTGTAATTTATACCATTATTCTCTCTGTACATCCTTTGTCGCAATTAATTCCAAGTTACATAACTTTTGACAATATCTTTATCGTTATCGTAAGAGATATGGACCTACTCATATTTTAGTCTTTATTTCTTTTTTGTTCCTCAATTGATTGATAACAGCTTAAGGCGGAAACCGGATAGAATAAAAAATGTAGTTAATTATTTGAAGTAACAAACGCGAGAAAAAAGTGCGCTTAGAAATAAAATCAGTGGAACGTGACCATGTCATCTGACGCCTGAGCCGTGTAGCGGACATCACAATAATACTACGGAGCTTACCATTTTCCCACGGCGCACTTACCGTACCAGTGCCCTTCGTCATGCCAAGGAATTTGTCTAAAAACTTTTTAACTTCTTATTTATTCATTAAACTAGCATAATTGTTGAGATACTTTTGATTTTAAACCGACTTCAAAAAAGGAGGAGCTTCTCAATTCGGCTATGTTTTTTGTTTATTTTTCTTTGTATGTGTGTTGCGCGATAACGCAGGCATTTGTGAACCGATTTTGAGGATTCTTTTTTTGTTGAACAGAGGATACCTCAGTAGTGGTGACATTTAAATTTAAAATATTTCCCCTCTAAGGGTGGCAAACTACGGGACGAATCCGGTTTCGCACACTTTCCGCTAACCGATTTCAATAAAACTTGGCAAATAGATATAATTCGGCTAAATTTTGAGCTCGGTTTTTTTAGTACTCTGTACTGAAATTATCTGTAATATGTAGACCTAAAAAGGAAAGAATTTATCTGCCTAGGTTCAATAAATTTTAACAGATAAATGCAAAATATTTATTACAAAATCAGTATATTTAATTATGTTATAACAAAAAATGGGGCGAGTTCAAAACATCTTCAAAACTAATTTGAAAAGTTTGACAAGACCCGTCTACCGTCTACCTGATCGGAGATAGGACGTGACAAGAAGCTAGCGATGTAAAACATTGTCGAAAGCCTTATTCACTGTGAGCGTGCTTTCTGGAAATCGCAAAGTTGTATTTTTACGAAAATAAGTTTTCTTGTTACTATTTTAGGCAATCTTGTCATACATATGTCAAATGAATCGTATCATCGTACACTTACAAAATCAATATCGGTTAGAAAACGTCGCGGTCCGGGAGCAGCGACCGCGTGTCTCGGAGCCGCTAGACACCCTTGCAGTCCCCTACTATCCCCCAGAGCCCGACGTTAGCACGGCGTGACATAAATACTTACCTGAGTAAACTTTAAACCTCTCCGCTCCACTTTTATTACACTCCAGCTGGCGGCTTTTCGAATGCTACTTCTCTATTGTTAACAAAATCAAACTCACTCGAATTACTTATGAGCGTACAACTTGTTAGTGTACTATTATTAACTCAAAAAAACTTATAACGACCAGGAGGCTTACTGCCTAGATATTACTTTCTCTTGAGGCGCACATATCTTAGCTAATCATTAAACGAGGACGCATGTTAACTATCATGCTATCAAATTAAGGACGAGAAATTGCTAAATAGCATAATAGTATACGTGACGTAATTTACGATTGCTTATTAAGATTTTTTAAATAAACTACATACACTTATTATTATCATATTACCGATGTCTTTGTAAGCAGCATACCACAAATCTGGACTTTCAATCTACGTATACATAAATATCCGATAATCGAAAACACGTAGGAAACTATTAAATCTATCTTGTTACGAGTTAATCAAGTGCTGTGTGATACCTAATTTAAGGTGTTAGTGTTTGATTGGGTCCGTAGGTAGTAATTCTTGTTTGTTCAAATTGGTTGTGGGCAGAAAATTGCACAAATTGCTGGGTCACCTCACCAGACTCCAATGTCCTTTATAGATGACTTCATAGTTGAAACCCATTGATAAGAAGTTAAGTCAAAACGTAAATATGTATTTAGTTAAAGAATGAAAAATCGTAGTCGCTCTCGAGACCGCTTACTTCTCAGTCAGCGTAAACGTGCGGTTAACTTCTCACTGCAGTGAGAGCGGAGCGCAGGCATTCAAATGCACAAAATTCTGAAAATCCTGCACTCCGTGCAAGTTGCTCTAGACTGGCTCACGACAGCCTCGTTCACTTGACTATATAGTAGAAAAATTGCTTTTGTCTGTACTCTCCTTGCGCCAGTGAAGTTTTGTTTGCAATTTTACACATTCTTTGTATGTCCATATGTTTCATTTGAAATGGATATTACAGAGCACCTGCTACCTTGTACATAATATCCGCTCATGAAATAGGATTATTATTCTTCTTATTTATTATTGTTCTTCTACTAGTACCTACATTACGAACTAAAGTTGTGGTTTTATTTTATTTCTTTTTAAATAATGTTTCAACATGAAACTGATTGTAGAACAATGATGTTAAAAT